AGAAATGACATGATTTCCTATACAAGACAAAAGATGAGTTAAATTTATATATGCGCTAAACTCTCAACAGTTCTGATAGAGTCACCTGCGTTGGAGAACTTAAGAGAATTATCTAACTTTGGATAGGAAAAATGGACACATTAGTTGAGCTTAACAAGTTTTGAAAAATCGTTCACATTAAGCAGCAGTATAGTATACATTACAGTGTCTGGTTTGGTTTATCAAATTGTTAAAAAAAAATATGATGGGGACAACAGTTTATTAAATTACACACATTTTTTGCTGCATGTCATTTAAACTTATTTCCTCGAATTTCATTAGAGCTATGTAGAGACATTAGGTTATTTTGAGGTCGGAGAGATGAAAAATTAGCAACGCCTTCTCCGGGAATCGAACCACTGACCTCTGGAATACCGGCCCACAGTGCAGAACCACTACACCACGAAAGGAAAGTGGGAGATATACTTTATATACTCCCCTTTTTAAAGGGCGACTGGGGTTTTTAGGGGACCCAATCGTCAAATCCTGGGTGTGGAGAATCTTCATCCAACACCCTTTTAGTTCGGGCACAACTGTAAAGACATTAGGATTTTTGGAAGCAGGCAAGATGAAAAATGAGCAATCGGCTTTGCCGGGATTCGAACCACGGATCTCTCAAATACCGGCTCAATATGCTGACCACTACACACGAAAGCGGGAGATATACCTTATATACTCCCCTTTTTAAAGGGCGACTGGGGTTTTTAGGGGACCCAATCGCCAAATCCTGGGCGTGGAGAATCCTCATCCACAACTCTTTTAGTTCGGGCGCCACTATAGAGACATTAGGATTTATTTGGAAGCAGGAGAGATATAGTCACTTTACTTAACCTGTTCTGTCAAACTAAGTTAACGGCACTACAGGGTTAGGAAGTCATTCTAGTCATTGCTAGCAATCTGACGGTTAGGCTGCCTTTCTACATTTTACATTAATCTTTAGTTTCTTGGATATAATTATTTTCATTCACTTGCTTCATTATCTCTAAGATGCCCTTGTTGCAGTAATAGTCCGTGAACAGTTTATTCACAGGATATGTGATGTAGTCGGAAGGACAGAACTGCTGTCGAAGGTGCTCTGTCAGAGGGCAGGAGAGCAGGTAATGAAGTGCGTCTGCGTCTTCCCCGCACAAACAGTTGACGTCCCGTCTGAGGAATCGCCTGTAATAACGCTGGGAATTTCCCGTGGTTGGTACAGGCCTGGAGGAAGAGTCGGTTGCATTTGAGCCTCTTGAGAGTAGGTATTGCGAAGATGTTGAAATTAACCTTCCTGTTTCTTCTTCCTGCCATCGTGATGACCATGTCTCTTGGAATATTTTCTTGAAGAGCCTTTTTGCAACTTCTGCGGAAAGCGGAACTTCCTTGTCAATTTCTGGTTTGAGAGCTGCGGTCTGAAAAATTAACAACGCCTCCGCTGGGAATTGAACCACGGACCTCTGAAATACCGGCCCAGCAAGCGGAATCACTACACCACGAAGGCACGTTAGGAAAGCGGGAGATATACCTTATAGATATATTTCTCATTCAATTAATTCGGTTCTCATTTCGAGGAAAGGCAAAAACACATAAAAACTCTACATATCATTAGAAATTGCTAAAAAATAAATAAATAAAACACCAAATACAGTTAAAAAAAGAATTTTTACAATTACAGTTTCTATGCAAGAGCGAGCAATCCGGCCAGTGGGCAAGAGGGCACATTTTTCAGTGCACAAAACTGGAAATTTACTTTTGGTGCCACTCGGCAAAAACATACCAAAGGCGCGGAAACTGACTTAATTCACTATTCTACTAAAGAGTTTCAAATGTCGGCTACGTTAGTCTTAGTAGCACTTAAAAAAACTTTTAAATGGTTGACAATTCTTTAACTATTGCATGAAGATTAACTAAAGCATAAAAACATAAGAACAACATAATTCAATTACTTTTAAAACAAAAGATGCACAATTTACCAACATATAAGAATAAGAAAAACTCGAGCTCACCAAACCGAGTAATAAGAGTGGGTATATGTATATAAATATATAATTAGAAAAGTTTCTATATGTCATCACCAAGGAAGAGAAATTCAATTAAAACCATGAATTAAAAAGAAAAAAAAAATACTCAGTATTTTAAATTAGTATTTTCTAGACCTCTGTTGCTTTAATAACATAAAATTGTGTAAATAAAAACCCTTAAACGAAAAAAAAAAAAAAATATATATTTACATACTTTTGGTGCGGCCGGTTCCAACCAAAAAGGGAGGTGTACAACTACTTCATCTTTTACTCAAAAAATAAATTTCTTTTTTTTGTCTGTGTATTCAGTGGGCACAAAAATGCCAAGATAAGAATTACAGCTACACCAATCTGAAATATGCATATGAATATAGTGGATCAGGACAGAATCTGCCTGCGAAACAGATCAAGGGAACTTTATCATGGTTATTGGAAAGCCTGTGGCAACAGTGTGTTACTGTATCAGCTGGATCGGTAGGAAGATATAGCAGTATGCTTCATGTAAGATGACATCTGTTAGAAGTTTAACTGTGGAAAAACAGCATCCATCCATTTCAAAGAAAAAGCTAAGGTTTATACGTAATCTACTTTTGACAATGTAGCAATGGATTATGAAATAACTGGAGCAATAAACTGAGATAAATCACCAATCTTTATAGCATATCAGCAAATACAACCTCAGTATGGCCATGTGAAATCGGAAACTCTGAATTACATATGGTACACGTTAGTAATTCACTACTAATTTGTACACTACATTTCTTAATGAAATAATACAAGTCATCTACATAAATTTTTTTAATGGGTATATGAGTATTTTTTTTTTTTTTTTTTTTTTTTTTTGTGTGTTTGTGTGTGTGGAGATAATAAAGACAAAATATCACAAATCCTTAAACAACTTCATTACACATGTGAGACCATTTAGCAACCCAAAAAATGCAGAGAACTATTTCTATGCTGTTTTGTGAGCATTGTTTTGTGTGCACCAGAAGATCTGCAGGTGTACCTGAAATGCTCTCGAGAACTAGATCATGAAATTTTCACACACATCTACTCCCACATGCATAATAGTAGCAATTGATGAAACTTGTCCTTTTTTTTCATTAGGTAATAATTAAAAAAAAATTAAGATCGTAAATATCCGTTTTTGGTTGAAAATAACATCAAGCCAAACTTTAGAGTTAAAAAAAAACATCTACGAGAAATAAGAAAGAATAATAATAAAAAAAATTTTTTTAAATAAAAATAAGAGAAATATGTTCTAAATTGGATTAGTGATTTATGGTAAAAAATTGAGAGTGTTGTCATGTCTAAACATTGAAGTAAACATGGGCCTGATTTCAAGAAACAATGCAATAGAATTTCTCCACCAAAAAGGTGCCTTCAGGAATTCGGTAAAAGTCACACTGACAGCAATTTATGTCACTCAAAGTATCATTCTTTGTCATGGAACCTTAACAGCAGCATGTCAGTACAGCTGTCTATCAACTATAATGTCAGTTGTGCAAGAAATGCTGCAGAAAAAAACATCAGCATTTTTGGCAAACGTCAGTCTTCTAAGTCTCGCATACATACAATTGGGAAAATGCATAAGACATGGCTTGTGATTTTACTGAAGGCATTCAATGATTACTTTCAAGTAAATCTAGATCTTCAAATTACATTTATAAGTTCCCTAATTTTACTTTCCTATTATCCTAAATTTCCTAGCTGAGAGTTTGGAAATTAATACTTCTTTACATAATATTTGTGCAATAGAAAATGCATCATGTACTTTGTTCATATTAGACTTTAATTAATGATGTTTATACATTTTTAGAGCTTTGACAAACATAATATTATAACTGCATAATATAACTTTATTTAATATATATGATTCTTACAAAATGAATTTGATTATAGAGATTTTCACAATAATGAACACTGTTTCCACCAGATAATACGTTAAGTCAATAACAGAACCATCAGTTAAAAGAAGGAATTGAACTCAAAACTGTGTGCCAACTGAGATATGGTCACTCTACTTAATCTGTTCCGCCAAACTAAGTTAATGGGACTACAGGGTTAGGAAGTCATCCTAGTCATTGCTAGCAATTTGACGATTAGGCCACCTTTCTACATTTTACATTAATCTTTAGTTTCTTGGATATAATTATTTTCATTTCACTTGTTTCATTATCTCTAGGATGCCCTTGTTGCAGTAATAGTCTGTGAACAGTCTATTCACAGGATATGTGATGTAGTCAGAAGGAGAGAACTGCTGTCGAAGGTGCTCTGTCAGAGGGCTGGAGTGCAGGTAATGAAGTGCGTCCGCATCTTCCCCGCGAAAAGCGCAAGAACAGTTGACGTCCTGTCTGAGGAATCATCTGTAATACGCTGGGAATTTCCTGTGGTTGGTACTGGCCTGGAGGAAGAGTTGGTTGTATTTGAACCTCTTGAGAGAAGCTATTGGGAAGATGTTGTAAGTACATCTTTCCTGTCTCTTCTTCCTGCCATCGTGATGACCATGTCTCTTGGAATGTTGCCTTGAGGAGCCTTTTTACAACTTCTGCCAACTGGGATGGCATAGTGTTTACAAAAGCTGAATGCACCATGCCTCTAAGGCCAGATTTATATCTTAAATAAGGCATGGAAAAGATCTGACAGGCACTGTCTCTGAAAAATGACAGCACTTAAAAATCTGTCAAAAGTTCTCCAGACTGACTGATAAACCCTTTTCGGATTCTGATCAGACAAAATGGATAAAGAACTTAGCAAGTAGGCATTGTTTAATCAAAAACTCTGTGTTTGATAATTTAATCAAAAACTGTGTTTTGAAGAAACATCTTAACTTTCTCCACTCTGAAAAAGTTTGTTTAAATCAGAAAAATGACCACCCAGCTCATGCTTTTTCCTTTCATGTAACATGAAGCCACTAAATATTTATAAAAGCTAAAATCTATTTTTCAGTTTTCAGTACATATCCTCTTAAGATATTTTCTGAATGCAAACAAAATAGTTTTTTTCCCTATAATTATTTGAAATAGATAGGCAGCATTATTTTATGAATTACACCCCTCCCTTTGAAAAAATGAGAATTGTACTTGCAGTTTCGTTCTTCATTTTGAAAGTAATTATCTATCTTCTGTTATCAACCTTTGCATTCTACAGCACAAAGACCGAAAAAGTTAGGATAACAATGATTTTAAACTAATATTAGGTATCCTTAGATGGATGCAAAAATTCTATGAGATAATTTTCATAATAATTTGCATAATTTTATATGAATTCTACTGCAACTAAAACTAGCTTACTGCAACTAAGCACATAAATATTTAAAAATATAATAATAAGCTCGTATCGTTATTAAAAACCGTATTATCAGTTTAAAGTATGTAATAATGAAAACATTTTATTTACATTAAATGCAGACTTACATTTAAGAAAATTTATTTTCATAAAAAATATTTTATTGCAATAAATAATTGTTCTATTTTGTCATAAATATTTTTACAAAATATCATTAGTTTTTTAAAAATTCAAAAGAAGCAACAAATTTGGAGATGTAGAGTCAGAAAATAAAAATTACAATTTGACTGCTAAGTTGGAATATTTGGAGATTCAGGATAACCCAATGCATAAATACCATATTTATAAATTGAAATTATATACCCTAGTTTTTATAAATAAAAATTACAGCACCATACATAAAACATTTATATACATATTTAATAAATTTTAGGTAAAAATCTTAGTAAAAAATCGTATAGCATCTTTAAGCCTCCAAGCTTATGGGTTTGGCGCTAAAATTTTAAAGTTCCCCAAAATGTCATGAATGTTATTTTCTTGATTATAATTCAAAAATCACTCAGTTTGTACCCTGACTCCTTTTCTTGCAATACACATTGAATCCGATATCGGTTTGATCAGGATTTGGCAAAATTTTCCATGCGTAACAAATGGAAAAGCTATCTTTCAATACAGAATATTATACCCATAAACCTTGGAGGATTAATCTCATTTTCTTTTCACAAAAATTTAATCTCTTATGTTTATCACTTACAGTTATTATACAATCAAAAGAAGAAATAACAGAAAATATTACATGAGATATTTTACTATTCATAATACATGAACCTTTACATTTTATAATGTTCTTAATTTACAATCAATATTATTTTTATTACACAGAAAAACTTTTTAAAATGAAAATTCTGAAAACCACCACCATTAAAACAGATATTCTTGAATTTACATGACTAGAATCAAATGATTGTTATTGCAATCGTTGTAGAAAATATTCCGAAGGAGGTAATGATTTATTATAATTTCACATTTCCCTTCTATAAATAACATATATGTACATTACATAACTTACATAGCTCTATTTCTATATAACTTTTCATCTATACAGATTAACAGCTACTCACAATACAGATTTATTTCAATTTTATATCATAATGCAAAACAATCAACTTCACAGTTGATAATGATTTTAAAGCAAAATAGTCAGAGATAAAATTCTTTTAATTTGTTCTTGAAATTCAGTTTTAGAATAAAAAAATAATTATCATAATTTTTGAAAAAAAAATCTTTGTACAAAAATTTCTTAAAAACATTTACAAGCTATTTAAATTCCTTTAAGTATTATTTTATCACACTTTCCTACATTAAAATCTAATCAATGTACAGTAATTAATTAAACTTTTCCGTTTTCTACAGTAAAAAAAAAAAAAAAAAAAAGAAAGAAACCTAAATATTTCAATTTTAACTAGGTTTTTTAGGATCAGGAAGTATTTGATGTTGCTTCTGCCATAGTTTGAAATACAAGCTCCTAGGATCTGATATTAATTTATTATGATTTCCACGCTCAACCACTGTCCCTTTGTCCAAAACTAATATTTCATCCACATTCATAACAGTTGACAGTCTGTGGGCAATACATATTGAAGTTCGACCTTCAGCTGCTCTTTGAAGGGCAGCCAGAATTTTCTGGAAAAATTATATTATACTTTAGACATGACTAATGAGGTAGGAATTTCAAAAACAACAATAAAATTCCTCACAATTTGCAAATAAAAACTGAAATTAGTATGACAATTTATGGAAAACTTATAAACAGAAAAACGCAACACATTGATTTGATTTTAAATACATTTTTCCCAAGTGGCAACAAAAGGATATATTTTCATAGAAGCTGATTTTAAAAGGTAGTGCGTAGCAGCAATTTTGAATTTAGTAAGTTAAGCTAACATTTCAGAAGTGGAATTAACAAGAATTATTAACAAGGTTTTTAACAACGTATTGCCTTAATGTATGTTAAGCCATTTATAAACTGTTGATGTTATGTCTAAGTATTAAACGGAAAGACCTTAAGTATAATTATTGCATTATTATTTGAAAATTGAAGTCTAAGAATGCTTATTTGGCAAGGGGCAAGAAATGTGACTTAAAAGAACTTGCCTTGGAACCTGATGTAGACGTTCCTTCTGATATTAAATTGTAGGCTTAAGGGCAATGATTTTGAATAGTAAGAACTATAATGAAGAATTTACTAAGCAAAGGCTAGATAGAATTATAAATGATCCTTTAGATAGAGAAAAGTTAGAAATTTTAGAAAAAGATAAACAAGGAGCATTTGAACCCGAAAAATTGAAAATAGAAGCAGAAATCAGAAGCAGTAATGTAAATGATTATGGTCCTTCTAATGTTAGGAAAAGTAATTTTTACGATATGAGTAAATTAATGCATAAGTATGATTTCAATGAAGGTGTTATAAGTTTTTATTTAGTCTTATTTGAGAGACAGGCACGACATATTGAGTTAGAAGAACAAAATTGGGTTTCTCAGCTTTTGGGTCTATTGCCTTATGAAATAACTCAATTAATTGCCAGTGAATCAGAAGGAAAAGCTAGCGACTATAAGCATGCTATTGAAAAAATTTAATTTAGGCCCTGAGCAGTTTCGGCAGAAGTTCACTGATCATAGTTAAACGTTGCATAATACATGGAGGGATTTCAAGTTTGAATTAAAACATTACTTTGAAGAGTGGCTTGCCGGATTAAATGTAACAGATTTTGACTCTTTAAAACAGCTTATTATTGCAGATCAATTAAAGAAAAGGGTCCCAGCTGCTATACGAGATCATTGATGATTGGTCTAAATTCATTAATCCTGAAGAGTTGGCTGAAAAACTAAATAAATATGAAAATATTCAGGCAGGGATAAAAGTACATCAAGTAGAAAATAAAACTTTTAAGCATTATCCTATGCCTAAATTTGGTTCTAAATTTTATGAGGGATTCTATAATCGGTATTCAAGAAATGTTAACGAGTCTATGCAGATAGATTGTAATTTCAAAGTGGGTTTTAAAAACAGTTTTGATAATAAATACAATTTGAGAAATAAATTTTATAAAATAGACGAAAGGAAAAGGGGATGTAATTCTGGTATCTGCGATGAAAAGGGTGAGCCGAAATGCTTCAATTGTAATGATTATGGACATACAGCGACGGATTGTCCTCAAACTAAAAAAGATATTATTTGCAGGAAATATAATGAAAAGGGTCATACTTTTAAAAAGTGTATATTTAAAAGTTCAGACTTGACAAATGTTAAAAATAATTTACCCATGAACCAGAATTCAGGTGTTTCACCAACTGTATATTTAAAGTATACTCACATCAACAAATGGAGAAGAAATTACTGCAATCATAGATACGGGTTCTAGTTCGTGTCTATTGAAACAGACTAATTCTAGTTCGTGTCTATTGGCTAGGAAACTGAATCTTACTATAAAACCTGATGTGGAGGAACTGTTTAGCTTTGGAAACCAGAGTAAACCAGCCGCTAGAACATTGGGAAAAATAACTGTTAATTTAGGGATTGATAATGTGGACGGAAAGGACATTACAGTTCTAACTGTAGGAGATGAAATGCAACCATGCAATTTATTAGTTGGTAGAACATGGATTGATTTGATTGATTTACCATATATCGCATATGCCAAGATAGGTAATACCTTGCACATACGCTTATGCTAATGATTATCCATTTTTACAGTTGCAAAATTATATCAATACTCCGCGAATTAAACTAAAGGCTTCCAAAGAAACTGAAATCAAAAGTAATATGGTTAATTTTGTGAAAGTTAAAACTGATGAAATAAATAACGGTTATGTTTTAATAAGTGGATCGGAAGATGAGTTGAGCTCATTATTGGAAGTAATACAGGGAGAAACAGTGATACCAGTCACCTGCAAAATTTCAGACTTATGAATTAAGTTTTAGGTCCATTGCTTAATAAAGAAGTATTATGCTATTTGAACGACATATTAATTCCGGCTAAATCTTGGAAAGAAAAGATGGGAAAACTTAGAAAAGTGTTTGATAGGGTGAGAGAAGCAAAGCTGACATTGAAACTGACAAAATGCAAATTTGGAAAAAATGAAGTTGAGTATTTGGGATTTCTAATAAAATCGAATGGTATGCAACCTGGACCAAGAAAAGTACAAGTCATATTAAATTTTCCTAGAACAACCAATGTACATCAAGTTAAACAATTTTTAGGTCTTACAAGTTTCTTTAGAAGGTTTGAACCGAACTATGCAGAGAAAGCTGAGCCATTAACGAGACTGATGAGGAAGGATGAAACATTTTATTGGAATGAAGATCAGCAAGAAGCATTCAGTACTTTAAAAGACCATTTAACTAATGAACCAGTGCTAGCATTATATAATCCAGAAGCAGAGACTGAAGTGCACATAGGTGTAAACAACAAAGGGCTCGCAGGAATGCTGTTGCAAAAAGGAGATAAAAAGTGGCATTTAGTTTATTGTGTAAGTAAAGGAACAACAGAAACTGAAAAGAATTATCATTCAAGCAAATTAAAATCATGTCAGTGTCAAGCTGAATCAGAGGAGGACGATGATGATGGTGATGACATTAATGTTGATGATAACGATAACAACACGCCACATACTACTGAAACTAGGACACGGGAAAAAAATAGAAAATAATGGTGAGTCTATATGACAGTTAAAGGCTTTTGAACTATAAATTTTAATATTACAGATTTAATTTTTTTTTTGAAGTTCTTAATGTTCCGAGGTCGTAACAAAGTCAGGATGCCTGAATGTTAACGCAACACATTGATTTGATTTTAAATATGTTTTCTCCAAGTGGCAATGAAAGGATATATTTTCATGGAAGCTGATTTTGAACGGTAATATATATATATATATATATATATATTTTGAAGTGTGCATAGTAATTTTGAATTTTCAGTTGTATCATCTCAGTGATATGTAAGTAATGCAAGAATAAAGATTTATTAGCATAAGTGAAGAATATTTCTTGAAGAAAGTAAGTTAAGCAAACACCTGTGTGTACTAAAACAAAGTGAATAACCACACAGATAATAATAAATAGCAGACAAGAAACTAAGCTTTTATTAGTAGAATACATGTAGACCAAACTGCTGTAAATATGAGATTAGAGTTCAACCATAAAGTGTTTACTTTCACAGCTATACTACCTATTCATACATCCACCATGGGGGAAAAAAAAAAAAAATGAGATTAAAGAAATCAAGAAACAATATTTCTAATTTTATAGGAAGATTATTCAGATACAAAAAAAATCAGTGGAAGTAGATACTTTCATTATAAATTACTCATCCATGTGACAGTTAAAAAAATAATTGCTTAGAATTTTAATAAAATGCTACCATCTTACCCTAGGTATGTGATAAATTAGCCTAGAAGAAAGTTTGCTTACCTCTCTCTCAGCCTTGAAAATCTGTGTTGATTTGTTGAAGTTGTATTAATTAAGTTTGAAAAGAATAACTTGGTTTCAGTTAATAATTGTGCATCTGAATTGCTAAAATAGTAGCTGTGATCCAAAATTAAGCTTAGCCTTAGCAACTAATTTCTGTTCCTTAACCTTCTGAGTGATATGACCAGCTTTATCAAGTCACAAAACTTTTTGTGACTTGCTTTATATTAGCTCATAATTTAAGATATTTTGTTTTCTTACTTTCTTTAAAAAAGTAAACTTGATGAATGCAATTTAATGAAAATAGAGATTAAAATGAGCTATTATACAAATTTTGCTAATTAATACTGTTTAAATACAGGGCTTCATGACATATCCCTCCCCCCCCAAAAAAAAAATGCAACTCAGAGGATTAATCAAATTAAAAAAAAATTAACTGCCGTACTATCTTATCATATCTAGAGTTCACGATCAAGCTTCAAGTGCATGAAAAGAAAGATGTAAGAAAGTAAGTATATAAGTACGTAAAATGTAAGAAAAACATAACTTTAAGACAAAATTCAGACAGAGATTAGCATTAATTTTTAGAGAAATATTCTGTACGTTTTAACAGAATTCTTGTTTACAAGAAGCAAACTAAATTTGAGCAACTCTGTCCGATTTCATGATTTTAAATTATTAAATTAAGAAAGATTAAAAAATTAAGGGATAATCAGATTTACAAGTTTAATGTCCATTTCTTTTCAAATTAATATTTGAAATATTAATTTGAAAAATTAAATTTGAAATTTATGTTTCGGTTTTTTAAAGGCCTATAGCAAATTTTAGTTTGTGAAGAACACTCTTCCAATGAATGTATACAGATGGTGGATATAATAACATCAACATGACATAAAATCTTCATGAGCAGAGCTGGTCACCTCTGGCCTGTATTAAAACTTGTGTTGGACATGGAATGGACAATTGCAGGTCATATACAATGTTGAAAGGAATAAACATTCCTTTCTTATACAAAGAAGTGTTTAATTGCTTGTGCTTAATTAAAGTGCAGCTTGACACAGAAAGCCTGCCCTCCAAAAAAACCAATAAATGTTATGTTAAGATCATGATACTCAGGAAGCCACAGATGAAGCTCCATTTTATTCCCGAGCTTATTAAACTATGCTTGAATACAAAGGACAAATGCAAAAAATAGTCCTCTTGAGATACAAGAAGCTTGCCAGGGAATAAAGTTTGAAATATGTGACAGAGATGATGACTCAGAGTTCTAATAAACTGCAGACTACGATCTTATATAGAATTATAAGTGGTGTCACTATCAAGATACTGCATCCCACACCTTCAAACAGCACTCTCTCAAACCAGATGACACATCATCACTATTCAAAAGTCTCTATGCTTTTGGCATCAATATTATAACTTTATTCCTGCATTATTTTTGTTAAGCATTATGAGATGTCATCAGCAATTTTGGAATGGAATGCTCTGCCATGAATGTTTTTAGCATACATTTTTCATAGGACTGTCAGAAACACATTCACAAGTTATTCATCTCAAAGATGATTTAAGACACCATTTCCTTTGTACATTACAGTCACTATCCACTTCAACAAGTCTCTTTATGTGTTCACCAGCTTTGATTTTTCTCCAACATTTTGTTCTAAAGATAACACCTCACCATAAGTAATGTGTTATCTTTAAAGGTTTAAGGCAGGTAATCATAACAGCCGAGTTCACACAGTACTTTTCACAATAATCAAACATTTTGCTGATTTTGTTATTAATGTTCGGGACAGATCTCAGTGTTAGAAGCATAGTTGTAAGCAACAATGAATTACAGCCTATTTTCTACAGATGCTCAAATTAATTTGTGCACAACATGTACATAAGTCAAATGAAGACAGCTTAAAAACATTGCACTAAAGAAAAAGAATTCTTAGTTCAAACAAGATAAATTAATACTAAGAAATGCTTAAAATACCTCTACAATAATAATGGTCCAAATTTTCATAACTATGTGTTATAAATTACAAGGATTAAATGCATTATAAAAGATATTAATCACTTAAAAATGAAGTTAATTACTGTCAAGTACATTTATTGTTTTTAAATCACTGAACTTTTTAAGCAACTATAGCTATAATTTGAAAGATATATGTAACATGTTATACAAAGCCAAATAAAAATTGTCTAAGAGCTTGCAGTTTGCAACTACAAAATTGAAGACAAATTAGAAACATTCTGTCTCAAGCAATAGGAGTGCTTGCCAGATCATATGATGAATAATGACAATTCAGTGCAGTACCAGATCACATGATTAACTTGTATTGTACATTATTTTATCAATAAGTACAATAATACCCCTTTAAAGTGTTAATAATAATGTCCTGCAGATTTGGCTACTCAGTTGTTCATAGATCTGAAATCTTAATAGCTAAATTGTAATAAATATGTAATTAAAAAATACTAAAAATTTACAATTTAAGAAAAGAAATTTAAAAGTTCTGAAAAAGTATTAATATTCCTTACTTCTTCTGTGATCGAATCTAAAGCAGATGTGGCTTCATCAAATATAAGAATGGGTGAGTTTTTCAGTACTGCTCGAGCAATTGCAACTCTCTGCTTTTCCCCACCTATAAATGATAGAATTATTTAAAGCAATGCAAAATTCCTTCTGTAATAAAATGATGCATAACTATGCATATAGGAAAGGTGCTGTAAAAAGTAACTTGAAAACTATTAATACTTTATAATTGCATGTACTTAAGTGCCTTCAGTCAGATTGATCCACGTAATAATATAGCATCAAAGTTTCAGTCAGTCAATCATATTTGAGGCATATTTATTTGGTGAGGATAAGAAGGAAAAAAGCTATACATGGGACTTTAGTTTTGAAGCATTACAAAGTACTTCCTTGTTACTGCAGCTACTGCAAAAAATCTCTTGAGAGAATTTAATTTTGCCTATTACAGAATAGATGATTAAGTTTGCCACTTCAGGCAACTAAATGCAATGACCACTTTAAAATAGAGGTACTAATTATATTATCTACTAATACTGAATCTAAAGGAGTAGATTAAAAAAATCTTTCACAGTTAAATAAACAAAAAACTACCCATTTTGGAAAAAAAAAAAAAAAATGCTAAATTTTACCTCCTTGTACGAAGTAAAGGAAATATTGCAATCATGTAAAATTTTGGTTATCAGATTTCAAAAGAAATATCCATTTTAACTACTTATTTTGCATGATGTCTGTACATATGGACAGAATAAAGGACAGTTCATTCTAATTTTTTTTTTTTTTTTTTTTTTTCCATGACATCTGTACATACATGTGGGATATAGTCAGTGAACAGCTAGTGAGGTCTGACATCATCTATCACTAGTGCAGAATAGCTTGCAGAGCAGTCGAGATGTGGAGAGAACACCCAGATGGTCAAAAACTGACAGGTTCCTTTGAGGCTTTGGTTCTGGGTCCAAGCAGCCAGCAGGTGGTGCTTGGAGCAACAGATGATGCTTGGAGCTAGCCATGGAAAACCGTAGATGTACTCTCTCTCGAGGTTTATGTGCACAATTTATGGCAATGGTTGAATCTTCAAGGACTGTTAAAGACTGATAACGTGTGAGAATTATTCATCATTATGCGAACTACTGTGGACTTCCAAACTCCAAATTGAGCTTCCAAATCCTTATGGGGTTAACAAGTGCTTATGTCAATTTCATCTGTTACCAGTTATATGTTCATTTCATGTTTTTATTCCATCTTAGTAAATTCATAAATAAAGTAGGTAAGTTTGTACTTATCTAGCACTCTATATTTGGATAATTTTACACACATAAGCATGAACGACTGTACTGACCGGCTGCCATATGTACTCAAAAACGATCAGCCACAGAATGTTGAAATTTTGTATAAGGGATGGCTAAAACATCCAGTTGTGAACCACAACTTTTTTATTGCAACTGACAATACCAAAAGTATATATCATAACCCAGGTATCATAATGTCACAACTAAAAAAAAACCTCAGTTTACAGTTCGGCAAAATTGTTTACATCAATTAATGCAACATCTACTTTTACTAATCAGGAATTGAGTTAATTTTCTTATTTAATACATTTGAAAAACCTACTATTTTTTTAACACGCACTTTTACTAATCAGGAATTGAGTTAATTTTCTTATTTAATACATTTGAAAAACCTATTATTTTGTTTAGGCTAGGGTAAACTGTACTTTGAGTTGTGTCTTTCTTCTTCAATGGAACTTGATAATTTTGTTAAGTTGTGCTATTCTTTTAATAATTGCAATAATTTAGTGTAATGAATATTAAAAACAACATTCACTGATGAAAAACATTATATTTCAGAAAAGTACACAAGTATTTCTTATATACTACTTTTGTAGAACAAAATATATAATCTGTTAGATAAAAACAGAGTCATAAAAAGGTTCATAAAACTTTGGAATATAGTTGCCTTTAAAAAGATCAACAATATCTGACTTTTTTTTTTTTTGGTAATAGGAATTTTACTTCTATATGCAAGCAGATGGATCTTCTCCACTTTGGTTTCTTTTGTCCATGCTTTAGCTGTACATCATTCAATTAATTTCCATGAACTCCTCTTGCTCGTATGTAGTTTTTACAAAAATGACTAGGCTCACTTTTCAAAATCTTCAGTACTTTTATATCACCAATTTTAATAGTATCAATCTTTCATAGCTCTTTATAGCTATTTTATTATTTAAACTTTTTTATAGCTCTTTGTCTTCAGTTTTTAATCCATCCTGTGTTGTTTTGTTTACGTTCTCTTCTTTACCATCAATCCTTCTCTTTTTTGTGTGCTATTTTGTCTGTCTTCTGTTAAACTCCTATTTTCGTCTGTGTTTTCAGTTGCATGCTCGTCTTATACAACTTTAGTGAAATTGGATTCCAAATGTTGTGTAAAAATTTTCCAATCAACAAATTCAATGTGGGACAACTCTTCTATTTTAAAAGGATTTCCTGTTTTCTTTGCTAACCTAATTATTTTAACATATTGGGTTTTAATAAAAGTTTCCTACCACTGCAAATATTGCCTTCACAAACAGTTCACGTTGTAATGTTTAATCACATTTTATCAAATGATTTTTGGCATTTGAAAGAAAGAGACTTGCTTAGAAGATTGTATTGTGAAAGTTGTAAAAAAATATCATTGTTATTATGTGCAAGGTGTCTGAAATGGAACTATCACACTAGCAGACTAGAACCATCATTACTTGCAAAAAATTAGCTACAGAATGTCACCAAATCATGTGCACAGCTTTAGGTACTAATGTTGTAACATATGATACAGTGAAGGTTTTGCTACCAAAAGTTCAAAAACAAGTATTATAACATTCAAGAAGCAGAGGGCTCTGGCCGGCCTACTGATGTTGATGAGGCCCGCATGCGAGAACTTGTGGAAGAAGATCAGTATGCAACCACTCCAGAGCTTGCTAAGCAGTTAGATGTTAAAGCCACGTCCATGAAATGTGCTATGCATCACATAAAATTGATGTACAAGTTCAATCACTGGGTGCCGCATGAGCTGACTCAGGTGGCAGGCCAGTCTCTTAGCAGATAAGTACAGAAGTGTTTGAGCCTGCTCAAATATCAATGCAAGGACAAAATTCTGGGCCAGATCATCACTTGTGATGAAAAACGGATTTTCTTCAACAACACAGGCCAAAAAGGGGTTGGTCTGTGCCTGGTAAGCCCATCGGTAACGTTGCAAAGTGCAATTTGACTAACAAAAAGTTCGCTCTTTGTATCTGGTGGAATTGCCGTTCTATTACCCACAAAGAGTATAAGGTAAAACCCTCAACAGTAAGGTTTACAGGAAGATGCTGTTTGTGTTTATGCTGCTTTTAAGAAAAACATCAAACTAAGTTCCTGTGCAAAAAGGTGATGTTTTGCCAAGATTATGCAAAATCACATGCGTCTGATTTCACTAGCTGGACTTCGTACGAACTCAAAGGGGATCTTTTGGCACACCTACCATATAGCCCCGACATATCGCTCCTTCAGGCTTCTACCTTTTTTCACACCTGCAGCTACATCTTGTTGGTGCTATCTTTTCCTCTGTGCAGGACGTCTGAAATGAGGTTGATTTGCTTTTTGGACTCATGGCCACCAACTTTCTGGGTTGAAAGCTTTGAAAAACTACCAAAATGTTGGCACAAAATCATAGATTTGAGAGGTTATTACCACTCACACTAAAGATACTGCTTTCATGTTTTTCTAACTTTATTAAGAGCGTTTTTTGGCAGAAACTTTCGCTACAACCAGATGTGGAGTATAAAGTGAATCTGATTTCAAAATATTTTTATAGCTTTTTCTATAACTGAATGGGCGTTTATTCCCCTCATTTTCAGCATGACCCTTTATCAGAAATTTACGTGTTATTGCTTTGATATTAAGTTTTTGCACAACAAATAGATACATTCCAAATATGAATGAATATTTTGCTGCCCACAGCTATTGTTGGAGTACAAAGCTTGTCATTTTTATTTTTCATGAATCTGCTCCCATTACACTGCTGGCTATTAAAACTTCAACACCATGAAGGAAAGCAAATGGAAAAAAGATATTTATTGCATGTAAACAGTATGGCATGAAGACAAGATGTTTAAATTTGTAAGCAGTTTGGGAGTTTACAGGGAAGCAAAATTAGTAGAAACAGCTGCCACTCCTGGCAGCTAAAACGGCCCTTACATAGTTAAGCATGGAGTCAAACTGGACTTAGATGACAGGAACAGGAAACTCATTCCATACTGTTTCAAGCATGTCACACTTCATCAACCATATTAACTGGAGAGGGGTGGTAGGCCAGTCTCTTAGCAAACCATGACTAGATGTTTTCAAAGGGTGACAGATCTGGAGACTGTTTAGGCCAGGGCAGCTATCAAATACCCTGTGTATCGAGGAAGGTCAGAACACTAAGTACAACATGTGGTCTGGCATTACCTTTTCGGAAGATGGCGTTTGGGAGGTCTCGAAGATAAGGCCCAATCCTTGGACGTAAGACATCGGAAATGTACCAATTCGTGTTCAAATTATTGTCGATCCAAACTAGAGATGTGTATGTCATGTCCCCAATGACTGCCCAAACCGTCACACTAGGTGCAGAACTCCTATCCTGATATCGAATGCAAGTAGGCAATATGTGCAATCTCCTCAGAGACTTCCGACATGTACATAGCCATCAGAATACTGCATGCAGAACTGGGACTTGTCTGAAAAGACAATATTGTGCCACTACCGTATCCAGTTTGTCATTTGGGGCACCAGAGTCACAGTCTCTCTCTATTCTGCATTGTCAAGGAAAGCCAAAGTAATGGTTGCAATGCTGATACTACTGTAAACGTCGCTACTGTAAACATCATCACACCATATGAGTGGATATTGGGCATGCTGCAAACATGCCCATTTCCTGACTAATGGTCGATGATATGGCTGTACGGTTTTGCAGGGCTGACCTCACAATGTGTCTGTTCTCTCGAGACTTAGTCACGAAAGTGCATCGAGATCCTACATACCTTTCAATATGACTCTTAGCAACACATTGATTCCATATTCGCATGACAGTGGTTGGATGTTGACCAGTGTGACAAGCAATATCACAGAACGATAATCCACCTCTCAACAGGCAACGATCCAGCCTCTATCGAATTCCGATACTTGTTGGGGAACATTTCATCTTCTCCAAGGCATAACATGATATTCTGAGCAAACTTTAACCTTACCAAGTGCTTTCTGAATGAGAAATCCACTACACAACTTCCCTTTTATGCAGTGCTTCAGATATCATTTCTGCTTCTGGCATAATCTAAATGCCCTGAAGCACATTGCATATCCCAACTTCTTCTTCCTTTTATATGATTTTGACATTCATCAGAATACTCCTTCCTGGTGTTGCAATCTTAATGGCCAGCAGTGTACTTGTATATACAGGTATCTGTTCCATTGGCACCCCTATTCCCTTCAGCTTCATGCTAAAAATAACACTGTACATGATCTAGCTTCAAGTTACTTACAGTAAAGTTGTAACTACTAATTTTTTATTTGTAAATAATAATAATAATAATAAATAAATAAAGTAACAGAAATGTCACCTTTGGGAGCAGGCAAAACTGCTTGCACATCATAGACTACTACAACAAATTTGTCACTATTTTCAGTACATATTTTATCCTTTTCTTTTCTTCTGCAGATAATTCCTTCTCCTTCAAATGGTTGTCATACTGACTTTTTAGTTTGCCTTTCTCATTATTGAGTGAATTTTTTTATGCAGTATATAGCTCAGACTGATTTTTTTTTTTTTTTTGAACAAAAATTTGATGTAGAATTCTTCATTAAAAATCCTTGAAAGCATAGTTAAATTTCTGTATTTTTCATCATTACTTTTACTCCATGCAATGCAACCACAGTACATGCTTAAAATTGTTTTTCCACTAGCGATATACTTGTATGTACTTTGTTGCTGCAAGTAATGACTTTCAATCCGTGGTATGTTGTTTATATAGTCATGTATACCTTACCTGATTCAAGGATCAGTGACTTTCTGATTACCATGTTTGCCTCTTTTGTCACCTTCAACAAATCCATCTTTACTTTTGCTTACAAGTGTGTTGATATTCCTATCATTGATATTCAAAATAGCCTTGAAAAATTTTTACATACATGTACACTATTGCCATTTACTTGCAAATGAAAAGCATAGTTAAAACTATATTTGCCACCCATTCTCTCATCCCAATATTTAGGTCTGAGTTCATTTACAAGCCTGGAAATATATTTATGCTGCAATTGCAAGCTAACAAGTTCCCAATAATTTTTAAATATTACCTCTGGACTGATGATTCATTTTTTCCACACCATTTAAATTTACAACTGTCTGGACAAGGCTCTTGCAAAGTCCTTTCTCTAACAGGCTGAGGGTTTTGTCATTAGACATCCATTTTCCCACACTTTTTTTTTTTTTTTTTTTTTCTTTTTCATAATTGCGGCTTTGCACGTTTCTTTTTACCTTCCTTTATAATAGTTTCCCCTTCTAACTGCGAGTCATATATTTCTAACTATTCTGACTATTTAATACCTCTGGTGTCAACTTGTGATGACTCAGATGAATATATAAATTTAGGATCCAAATCTGAATTGTCCACATCTTCTTCATAACTTGAATCCTCACTCAAGAAATTGCTAAATTTTGGCGGTTTTTGATTTATCCTACATAACTGTACTTTTATATCACTACTATTCTCAGATTGGAGAACTGTTACCCACTTTGAAAATCTTTCAATCTCAGCATCTTCAGCTTTAAAGTTTTCAGTTCTATCATTTTCAATCACATAATATTCTTCTTGTTTATTCTTATTATTCTTTGTAGCTAACAGCAACATTTTCATTCTTCTTGATAATGCCACAGCCAACCAGAAACCAATACTGTAAGAAACATGTCTTGACGATTTATTTTTGCATTTTTAAATGTATAAATATTTATGCTTCTAATGTCATTAAAATTAAATGTTGTGTCATTAAATTGTATAGGTCATGTAACAACAACTCTACATAAAATTCTACAACACACAAAAATTTATACCTCAAAAACATGAATAAAAATATAATGCCAAAACGTTACATGCAAAAATGTGCAAGTCCATTACCTGCAATCAAAAAGAGATTAATAACTCACAAAATGTCAGTGCTCCATCAGTAAAGCAATATATATGTTGGAACCTCACTGTACCAAATCAAATGAGACACCGCTCTGTTTGGTTGGTGAGAATTGAAATGACTGTCTACTAAAATGACACTTACATCACTTTGCAACTATATAAATGTCACTATTGCAGATGTATAGAGAAAAAATTTCTTGTTTTGAAGTAGGGATTAACTCAAATTCGTGGATTTGAGTTAATGGCACAAAATATTTATGCCAACTCCATTTACCCAGCTTAAAAGTCCTTATCAAGCTTTTATTTTTGAATCATTGGATGCAGTCATATATTTCCAATTATTGAAGTGTTTTACGTGATGAAAATATTCATGTTTTGGCAATATCAAATTTTTTAAAAAAAGTTAACAAATAACAAAATCTAATTTTTAATGCAGTCTCCTGATTTTTATATTTGGAAATGTTTTATACTCATTACAAAAAAATAAAAATACAAGCATTTTCAACTTGCCTTGGGGAACTAGTTAATTAAATTAGAATAATTTGAGGAAATAATTTTAAATGAAGTGCAGCAAAAAATGTGTATAATTTAATAGGCTGTATAAGGAAATCATGTTGTGCTCATAACAGATTTCTTTCTACTCCTTTTCATATTTAGAAATCTACATACTTTTGGTTTAAAATAACTGGACTTTGTATATACTGCTATTAACAATGAATACAAGAAATTACAAAATATTTACAGCTTCATATTTCTAAGCACTAGACTTATTAACAAACTATTCATAGATAAATTCTCTGATTCAAATTTTATTAATTTAATCATGTTGCTTAATTAACTTTGGCATTTATGATAGGAAAAATATTACCTGAAAGTTTCAATCCTCGTTCTCCCACCTGAGTATTATACTGAAATGGCCATTTCATAATGGAATCATGTAGCTCTGCCAGTTTTGCAGCTTCAAAAACATCTTTTTCTGGACGAGAAAAGTCACCATAATGCAAATTATAAAATATTGTGTCATGAAATAATACTGCATCCTGCAAGGAAGAAAATGGGGGAATACACGAGCTTCAATTTTAAAAATTCAACTATCATAAAATTTAATTCCTCTAGTAAAATAAGGAATATACCTGTGGAACAACAGCGATAGCTTTTCTTAAGCTGTTTACATCCATTTCAGTAATATCTTTGCCAGCAACATAAATCTTTCCAGCTTGTGGCTCATAAAATCGATATAAAAGTCTCACAATAGTAGATTTCCTTTTTGGGGGAAAAATATATTACTTATATTAAAGCCAAATATAAAACTAAATATTTATATATCAGTATTTATTATGAAAATTATTTCTTACCCAGAACCACTGCTGCCAACTAATGCAATTTTTTTGCCTGCAGGTACTTTGAAACTAAGATTTGACAAAATGTTCTGGCCTTTCACATATTCAAAAGTAACATTTTCAAAAACAACTTCAGCTTCTTCTCGAGATATATTCAAAGATGGAATCTGTGAACTCTAGTAAAATAATTATTGTTATTATGCTTATTTCAAAACTAACATGCAAGTTCACATCACAAAAACATTTTATTTTTGAAAACAGAGAAAAAGTTACAAAAACAACAAAATTCCTGCATAAAGTAAAAAAATTAATAAGGCTGTTTCTTTACCTGAAGAGGTGTCTGTATATTTAAAATAGCAAACATTGTCTGCATGTCTATCAAAGACTGGCGGACTTCTCGATAGACAGACCCCAAGAAATTCAAAGGAAGTGACAACTGGAAAATTAGACCATTAACCATCACCAAATCACCAACAGTCAGAGTACCTGTACAAGTGAAATGAAAAACTTAGCTTAGAAGTAATATGAGATAAGCACATTTGCATAACACGCTGAAATTGTAAAAGAAGTGCAATTATGCTTGAAATACATCATACATATTTCAGCATTACATGTAAAGATGAGACAAATGACTGACCTAACTTTGAGATTAATCTATCCACCCCATATTTTTCTGATCACATTTATATATAGAATGCCAAATATGACAAACTACCAATTTTACAAGCATCACAATTCTAGAACATCTCTTTGCAAATTATTTTTAATCTTTGATCTAAGAACCTAGAATCACCTTTTATAAAAAAGTAAAACCAATATGAATATAAAACTAAATTTAGCTCAACACCACTACACACACACACACACACACACAAACACACACACAAAAAAAAAAAAAAAAAAATCACAGCTGAGCTTGTTTAAACACCAATGGTTACAGGCTCATTTCTTTACGCACAGAACTGCTGAAGAGAAAATAGTTTTCTAGCTTATCAAGAAACTGCCATAGTAGTAGTAGTAATATTAATATTTTTTGTTGTTATAGTAGTAGTAGAGTAATAGTAGTAGAAGGAGGAGGAAGAAGAATGAACAAACACACACACATGGCACACGCAAAAAAAAAAAAAAAAAAAAAAAAAAAAAAAAGCATTTTTAAAAAGTAAACTTTTCTGTAAATTTTTCTCCCATGCTATCTAAGCATTGATTCAACAAATAGCTTACAAAAAATATTACAACTGAAAAAAAAAAAAAAACTAAAATCTTGTTAAAAAACACAATTTAGAACTAAAAAAAAGGGGGGAAATTGTGTTAATACCACATAATAGTCATATTAAACATTTTTAGAAGTGACCTTACCATAGACCAGCTTTCAATAAACTGGCACAAGGATAATAAAATCAAAAACTAGAGTTCAAGATTAGAATTGGATTGCAATTCATTCTGCTTTACAATGTTCAGAAGCATGCACACAATTTAAGGTTTTAATTTATACAATGCATCAATAATTCTCAACAGATTATGCACATTTGTGACAACTGATTAGTTTACAAAATAAATTAAAACAGTTTCGAGATGAAAATATGCTTAAATAAATATTAATTTTAATAGAATTTCTTGAATATGCAAGAGAAATACACTGATGACAGCAATTACTTTTAACAAAAGATTTTTGCAAGACTGAAATTTCTTATGTGATATTCCAGCCACCTCAAGAACTTTACAAGTTTATACACTCACATCCATAAATTATGGATAATTCAGAATCACACAGAAATCAAATTCTAAAGTAAAAATTTCACCTGATAGTATGTCACAATAATGAGAGTGTAAGAGAAGTACATATAAGAAATGATAGCAAAGAAGTAAAACTGTTCACAAGAGTTCTGTAAGCTACTCAGTGCCACAACTGAATAGTTATGACACATAGCATGCATCTGGATGATTTTTTACATGGTAGAATTGTCAGCTGGAATGTGGGCATACTCATTTGGAAGTATCCAAGGAACTTGGAATAGCCCAAAAGGAACTTGGAATAGCCCAAAGTTCTGTACTCATTTGGAAGTATCCAAGGAACTTGGAATAGCCCAAAGTGTCATCTCTAAGCTTTAGCAACAATTCCAAAATGATGGAAATGTCAGACATTACAGTACAGGTGGCACCCGAGTTACAATGCCGAATGATGACCAGTGTTTGGCATTAACTGCCAAAAGAACCAGATGGAGCACAGCATCAGACCTCTCTCATCAGCTACCTTCAGCCATGGGTATGACAGTTTCAAGGTAAACCATGTATAAGCGTTTGGGACAGACTGGTCTATATGCTCACAGGCCTGTCAGATGTGTTCTGTTCAAGGCAACTCACTGTCACCAGCGGTTAGCCTGAACATGCAATGTGGACATTGTCACATTGCATGCTTGTGCGACATTTTTCAACGAGTCCAAGTTTAGCTTGCAGTCTGATTTATGTCGGACTTTCATATGAAAAACTACAGGTATCTGCTATCACCGAGACATCACCACTGAATGACAGCATTATGGTGGTGCAGGATTGCTTATCTGGGATGTAATTATACTGGGCCCTAGAACAGATCTGCATGTTCAGATTGGAACCATGACAGGCCAAATTTATTAGAACATCATTCTGGAACAGCATGTACATTTGTTTAGGGGTATAATGGATGCAGAATTTGTGTTTATGGATGAGAACAGCCATCCACACCATGCAAACATTGTAAAGGAATTGCCTTCAGTCTGAGGATATCACCTGTGTATGGAACGGCCAGCATTCTCACCTGACTTGAAAATTCAATAGAGTATGTGTGGAACATGCTTGGCCAACAAATTCCAGCCCGTCAAGAACCTCCGACATGTGTACTGGAACTTCGAAGAGCATTGCCTGCTGAGTAATTTTCCCAAGATCACCTTGATAATTTGATACTGAGCATACTTAGGTGTTATACAGACTGCAGTTCATCGTTTGGGACACATACAATGTATTATCTATCATACCAACCATGTAATGTTAAGTTTTTGTAAGGAAGATATTTTTTGTAATTGCTCCTGGGAACAAAAATCGTAGTTTTTATGAATGGTATCACATACACCATCTTTTTTTTCTTTATCTTTTGTTTATAAATGAGTTTTATGAATAAGTAATGTTTGTTTCATTTCTGAACCTTTATTTGCTGGAACTGACATTATCCTTAATTTATGGACATAGTGTATTTTAGAAATTTTCAAATCGGACTCAAAATTTAATTTACTGAATCATCTTTTTTTTTCTTTATCTTTTGTTCATAAATGAGTTTTATGAATAAGTAATGTTTGTTTCATTTCTGAAACTTTATTTGCTGGAACTGACATTATCCTTAATTTATGGACATAGTGTATTTTAGAAATTTTCAAATCGGACTCAAAATTTAATTTACTGAATCTTGCTTTATTCTAGTGCTGCTAAATTACATCTTGAAGATATTTAATTATATTTTTCCTTGAAACTGTAAATATTGTTTAAAATTTCCCCTCCTTTGCTAATACTCTAAAGGCTTTTCTTTAACAGGCCTTTCTATCGCCAAGCCCTTTTCTCATTGATCGGGAGGCTATGTATAAATTCAAATAAAGATCATATAAAATGAATATAAAAGACAATCATTAACAAAATTTGATAATCAACCTTTAAATTTTTGACTTAAAATGCAAATACAACCTGTTTCCCATCTGCACTCAGACCTGAAGTATTCTGCATTACGAAAACTTTTGCCCACTAACTCTCCAGAACTTGAACAAATAATTTTTGAGCTACATTATGTGCATCCACTTTTGCTGCTAGCTCTGCCTTGGATAACTCACATTTCTTCACTTATTGTTTTAAAATGTAATTCCATATATAAAATTGCAGAGTGCAGATTGCCCCCCCCCATTGTGCTAAGTGATTTCTACAGAATCTCAAGCTAAAGAATTGCTTAGGTTCAGAAATAAAATGCATTTAATTCTCAAGCTAGTTATATTTTGTAAAAATTCCAGTAATCTATGCAGCAATATTTCAGTTATGACTTGAATTGGTTTCATCTTCCATCAAAATGAATGAATTGGTTTCATCTTCCATCAAAATGAATGAATTGGTTTCATCTTCCATCAAAATTGCAGCATCCCCCCTCTCTCTCTTTCACACATACACACACATATAATATTATACACATAATGTTATATATAATTTATTTACTAAAGAAATATTGATTATATTATCTCCTAAGAATAATTTTAGTAGAATTATCTAAAAAGAGTGAATCCATAGTTAGTAAGTTTGATTCCGAAAATTGTTTTAAAGTAACTTGAATGTAAATTGTTAAAAATGTTTAACAGGGACTTGAATTAAATCATAAATAACAAAATTTCAATTGTAAAAAGAAATTAAATTAAAAGCAAGTAATCATTGCCATTGATTGGAAATTAGTTAACTTTTTACGGGAAACAAACCAACTCCCGTTCAATGAACAATAATTAAGAAATAAATACGAAGGTGTTTTGTCCTCTACTCAAGTAATAAGGCGATGCCAAACTGGCAATTTAAGTTAGGCTCACTTTCCACTAGAATGAACGTAAGTTAATTAATGCTTTTTCTGGCATTTTATATCTTCATGTACATTCCCTTTTCTTATTATATATATTTTAAATTTAAATTTTTATTTTTTGGTTTGTTTTTGCAAAGATTGCATTATATTTCTTATATTTCATAATTTTCTAATGTTTATTTCAGTTACTTTGAGTTCTATTTCATAACGCCAATTTCCAATGTTTAATTTTTTACAAATAGTTTTGAATTAAAATGCATAAACACGAGGGGAGACAATTACTCAAGTAATTTATCAATTTTACTGCATAAATTGCTTGTCACTCAAAATTGAATTAGCGAAAATGCTTAATCAGAATGAGTTCTTTAGTGCTCTGCATTGGTTCTTGATCCCTTCAATTCACGGAAATATTTGGCCTAACTTAAATTGCCAGTTTGGCATAGCCTTATTACTTGAGTAAAGGACGAAACACCTTCGTATATATTTCTTAATTATTGTTCATTGAACGGGAGTTGGTTTGTTCCCCGTGAAAAGTCAACTATTTTCCGATAAATGGCAATGATTACTTGCTTTTAATTTAATTACTTGCTTTTAGAATAGGAATGAAGCTAAACATACATATAATGGAAATATTTAAATGGATTAGCAATATAGCAGTTTAAAATGCAAACATATTAATATGAATTAAGGAAAAAATCAATTTCTACCAACTGATTTTCTCCATCACAGAAGAAACTTGCCAACCATGCTGAAAATGCGCCATTTCTAAAATATACTTCACCCTGATAGCATTCGTAATATATTAAATCCTGTATGGTAGAAAGGGAATATGTCATTTCTGAAATTTTACATAAACTATGTAAATGCAGTTGAGATTAAAGTTCAGCAGGTTTAGAGCAAATTTTCTTCTGTTTGGAATTTATCCAGTCAAACGTTTTTAACTAATATTTCAGCATTTGATATATTTCTTTTACATAAAATTAGTTTTTTCAAAGAAAATTGCCTGATAAGTTACAGTTTACTTTATTTAATTATTATGAATACCAATTTCAGTAATATTTGCACTGGAATTTAGTTTTGAAAGTACTCTTATACTTTAGTTTCTGTTTTAACTATATATATATATATATAAGTTACTGCAAGTATGCAAATGAAGCTAGATAAATTATATAGAAACTGAAAATATTTAGTAACATAAGTTCTACATATGAATAAAATTTAGATAACTTCCAAAATTATTTTTTTCCCATTTTTTAAGGCTGGTTTTTTGCACCATAGAAGAAACTTGTCAATCCTGGTAAAAACAACACTGTTACATTAACTTATAACTGATTTTTCCTTTTATTTTGTTGTTAAAATTCTTCTTATGATTTAACTTTTTCTAAACTATATATACAAAAAATATATGATTTATAAAAGTATAATATGTAAACAGACAGTCCATACAGAAAGCTTTCATTTTATAGCAGAACTATTTAACTGGAATGGTACAATCCTTTTACATTTGGTTATAATCATTTTGCATTTATCTGTGATAAACTAATCATATTAATAATATTTTCACAGAAAATTTCTGGAACTGAAAACTTATGGGATATACAGAAAGTTTTACATATTTTTAGAATGATTTCAGTACTGCTTAATTCATTTTTAAAATGTAAAGCAGGGGTTCCCCGTACCACTGGTGGTATGCAAGAGAAAAATAAATGGTATGCAAAGAAGCAAAGAATTTTTAACTATTAAATTCAAAAATTAAAACCCCCACATTCTGACTTAGTTTTTTCTCTCAAACACGTACATGTATGCGATCTGAGCTTTGTTCAAGAGTGGTAGTGGTATAGTGGTAGCAGTACTTTGGTGGTACTAAAGGTTTTTAATTTTTATTTAGATGGTACGAGTTAGTCAAAAGGTTGAGAACCGCTGATGTAAGGTTTTTCTTTTTTTAATGTTCAATCTGACAGCCTTTTTCCTGAACTAAAGATTGCATCATGATTTCCATTTCCATGAGAGAAAAGCTTTTTCATAAAATTTCCAGGAGTATCGATTTCCATTCTTCTTCCACTACTTTCCAAGGACCATCAGTCATGGTACATTTATGCTTAGAAAGAGCTCTTTTCAAGAAACAAGAGGCACAATAGGCCCGAGGTGAAATATCAGGATATTTTTCAGGAATACATGCAATACCTGTATCAGTCTTCATTTTTTTAAAGAATGCAGTGGTACTTTTTGAAGCATGACTTGTTGCTTTGCCTTGATGGATTCTTACTCTCTGAAAGTCATTGGGATAAAGAAATGGAATATTGCTTGTAAATGCTGGATGTAAAACTTTCTCTCACTAGTATGTTGAGTTGATTTTAAATTTCCTACTGTAAAAGAATTCTTTAACAATCATAAACACTTTATTGAAATTTTCTTTACATTGACATATATAGGTTTGTACATTTTTTTTCCCTCTTCATCAATAAACAGACCATTTTTGCTGCAGTCATTTAGGTTCACAAATGCTTCATCAAGGGTCACAATGTATTTCCACTTATCTTATTCTAAATAGTTTCATAAAGTATTCTAAAAACACCTCTGCATTGAGCAAAATGCCTCGGCAAAAGCTGGCAAACATTTTACTTAAGTTTCAAATCTTTGTTTATTACCTTATTTATTTTTGCTACAGATGTATTTAAAGACTTTGCAACTGATTTCAGCACCAGCAAATTTTCTCTTGTTGCCAACAATTTAACTTAGAACCATCAGAAACAGTACATACCTTTTTCAGATATTCATTTGGATTCTTCCATGTAGAAGTAATGATTAATGGCTTTTCTCTAGGCAATTAATACTGCTGCTTATTTTGCACTTAGATAGTTTAATACCAGGCATTTTACAATGTTTTTGAATTATGGAATACAAATGTTCCTCTTTGGAAAGCACAAAAACATATCCTTCAATCCACAGCTTATTTACATGCAACATTTCAAAAGTAGCAAATGTTATTTCCCATTTCAAATAACAGGCTGTTGCCAGAAATTTTTATACCAAAATATATTTTTATTAGAATTTTGAAATCAGTCTAAAAATGTGTAAACACCTTCTGTAATTAGTATCTTTAATTCATGTTTTTATTTGTCACATTTAGAGAGAAGAAATTAATACTATAATATTATCAGTCATTATGTATTTTTCTAGCTTCATTAAAAAAATATTGGTTGAATGATTCTGAACTGACAATTTCAAAAAAAAAGTTCAATTAAACCTCTACATCTTTTCCTTTATGTGAATTGAATGGAAAAAAAAAAGGCGTTTGAAAGCAAATTTTGGAACTGAATTTATAAAATGTACCAAAAAATAGCATTATTGTTGTTTCTTTATTATTGTTAAAAAATTTGTATACTGAGATAAACCATTTCCATTCCTTTACCTGATCTAAGATACATAGACAGTGGATGCTGTGCTTTAATCTAGGGTCAAAACAGAGCTAAATTAATACTGAATATTTTAAATAATATAGATATGTATATGCTTTATAAAATGCTGTGTTGTGGCCTATCTCATATGTTTGATTCAATAAGAGAAAGTTCACAAATTCTATTGAGAAAAGGAGCAGAAGATTATGCCTGCTGTTTTCATGGGCCTTGAGCACGATATAGTATAGATAACATTTGTACCAACTATACACATTTTTGCTTAATAATGTTATAGACACTTGTTTCGATATTTTATTGCTGCAAATAGCAATCACGAAAAAAGTTTAACCCAAAATTGCTGTGCTACAATATAGTTTGGATAATCAGGATTCTGTTGTATAAGGACGAGTTATACATAAATTGTGCAAAAAATTAAATAACTTTGAAAATACCATTGACTATTCCTTCACTTGCCATAACCATAATTGCAGTCAAAGCAATACTAAATATAGCATTCTGACCAAAGTTGAGCAATGCAAGACTGGTTGTTGTTTTTAAAGAGGCATCTTCAAATTTAGCCAGAGCTTTATCATACTGCTCAGCTTCATAAGCTTCATTGTTAAAATACTAAAAAAAAGAAAACAGATTTTTACACAAAATAATGAGAATGCTAGTTTCTAAGAACAAAAATTGCAATTACTGACATGCTATGAATAATGCAACTTACTTTTACAGTTTCATAATTTATAAGAGAATCTATAGCTTTATTGCCAGCCTCATTTTCTGCTCTGTTCATTTCCACACGAAAATGTGTTCTACAAATATTATAAAAAATGAAAAAACAAAATTTTCAGATCACTTTATTTCTTTTGAAAAATATCATTCTTTTATCTTTTTTAAGTTAAAATAACCATATTAAATTACTATAATAAAACAATAAGTTGCTATAGTAAAAAATTTTTTTTTTAAAATTGAAGAAAAAAATGCAGAATGGGAGAAGCAACAACCATATTTATATTGAAACAATGGAATAACTAAAGTAAACATGAGTAGAGAAAAATAGTAATCAAAAGGTGAAAAACTAACATATTAGAATTCTAAAAGCATTAGGAAGAAGTGAATTGAAATTCATGCCACTAACTAAATAAGATAAATTTTTCTAAATGTAAAAAGTTTCAAGGAGCCAAAAATATCATAAACAGTATATGAAGCAAAAAGAGCAACACGTGCACAGCATCAAGTTCATGTCAACGTATGCTATGACAAAAAGACTTTTATTGTAGTAACAGTAAGAAGTGCATTAATAGAAGAACAAAGCAGCACATTAACTCATGAGCATGTGCACTGGGTCCAATGGACCCCCACGATTAAACAAACCTTTCTCAAAACATGCCTATTTCACACAAGTTGTTGAAGTCCAGTGTAGTCGTGTCTTAAGTCGGCCACTTTATGTTTCCGAAGTTTCTTCACTGGGACTTTGATTTAGAGTCTTGATTTTAATCGCATCGTGTCTTTTAGACCCCCTGCACCTACTCGTGTTACTATTACATAATTGATTTGTGATAGTATAGAAAGCGGCAAACATGTCGCATAATTTATCATACAATGAACAAATTTTGCAAAAGTTATTAGATGTATCAACTGGCGAAGTGGCAAAGAATGTATTGAAGAAAATGATGATGGAAGTGATCATGAGTTTTTAGTTCACATGATGCTGATTCAGACAGTGATATAGATTCTGAAAACGAGAGTGAGAATTACATAAATTGTTTTACCAGGAAAAAAGAAAGAAAGAAGAAAAGGGGAAAAAAATGCAGTGTTTGCCCAGTGAAAAAACATAGACAAATAAAAACGCACTTCACCTAATGTGAAAAATATGTATTTGGAACACACGAAAACACTTTCTTCAATGCACTGCTAGCATTTGTAGTTGCATTTGTTGTAAGGCAAGGACAAAGTTCAAAAACTTTTTCCAACATAGACAGTATTCTTCTTGATAATATCTATTTTGAAAGGTTGGGTGAGCAACCAAACAGGCCTCCTGAAACCTTCATTCCGGTTAGTTGATTGTCTCTTGTTATTTACAACATCAGTCTACGTTGGCTCCATTATGAGCCTCATGGTTTCAATAAATTTAAAATGTTAATTCCCACTTTTGAAAACAAAGGAATAGATATCAGATGAGTAAAATTAAGGCCATTTGTTAAGTTTGGCCAAAACTAAGGACTTTTAAGGAAAAAGTCATTTTTAAAAAATCAAAGAAGTCTTTAAAAATTTTCAAGGACTATATGAGCCTTTTCATGGACACTACGAGCCTTGTTTTAGACATTATATCACATATCATAATCATTTTTATTTACTCACTCTAAAACTCCTTTACTTAAAGGATCTATATTTCATGAAATTTTAGTTATGAAACTTTTCAAGTTACCCACAAGTTTGCTTCTGCTGAACACTTACAAAATATCAGCATCACAAATCATTAAAATTGTTACACTGAGAAAAGAACATTTAAATGCTTGGCATATGTTTGGTTTTAATAACAACTCCATTATAACTTCAACACAATAAATCTCATACAATTTTTCTTATTCTTTAACATAATAATCTAATACAAGATCTTTCCTTTAGATTCTTTGAAACATAAGATACAAAATAGATTAAACAAAAACGGCAAAAAATACAGAAGTCGGTAACTAATCAGTAAGTTACCTAATTCACCTAAGTTTATTTCAAAGTTGCCTAATGATACATAAAATGAACAAAATGAAATTAAATTCAAGCAAACATTTCATACTGTAATATACTAACTGCAAACAAATATGAGCTTACCAGTTAGGTGCTTGTGAAAATTCCCTAACTGGCGATTATGACGAGCAATGGATTAAAGTGGCAATGTTGGATTTTTTAAATGGGTAAATCCTTTATTTTTTAATACGAGTATAATACAGAAAATCTCATTATGTGAATTTAACTACAGTCCTGATTTCTCCATTGCAATGTGGAAATACTGTAGTTAAAATGAAGGGGAAAAAAAAAGGAAAAATTACCTCCACTGTGTAACTGCCAAAGTATAAGCTGCATAAGTTCCAATACATCCAAGAGTTACTAGTGCAAATTTTCCACCACATTTATAGTACTATAAACAATATATATATTTTATATATGTATAATAAATAATACTGATAGTCTGCATTTATACATAAAATGTTTAGACAAAAGTAAAGTTTTAAAAGAGAGAAAAAATATTCTGAGCATATTCATCATATTAACAAATTTAATGCATCACATAAACTGTTTGATTGGTGGATTGAAAAATATAACAAAAATACATCTTTGAAATTGAGCAGAATTTAACCTCAAGCTGATACTAATTTTAAAAGAAATAAGTACAACCTTTCTTTAAAACTAATGCCAATCTCTAAACTTAAAATCTGCTCAACTTCTAAAGGTTCATTGGATTTTTATGCTAAAGCCCACACGTTACTGGCTAGAAATTAACTATACCTCTGTAGAAAATTCTAAAGAATGTTAATTCATATTCACATTTCACTCAGTAAAAAGCAGTCATGCTTGTGCTGTTATCAGGAATAAGACCTATGATAAATTACATTGTTTTGCAGCTTTAATCATTCGGTCACTGGTAGGCTAAGACAAACTATCAAAAATTACACAATACGCCTAATAGTCAGGAATTCTTGCATATTTTTGTGCACTGAATATTTCATGGCAAATAAAACTGTAAATAATATGTAAAAATTTGGCTTTCTAAATATGCTACAATCAACTGTCTGATACTGATAAGCTGAGAATTATTTTGTTTTCATGAGAAATCACATTTGCCCAATCTTTTCCTGACATGAAAATGAATTTTGAATGAAATGAATCTTTTCATGAAAATATAAATGTAATTAAAAAGTACAAGTCGCAATCAGAATGTGTCAAACTGAAAAATGAATTTTGAATGAAATGAATCTTTTCATGAAAATATAAATGTAATTAAAAAGTACAAGTCACAATCAGAATGTGTCAAACTCGGCAACCATGCACATAACCATTCTTCTAGCAACACTGTTCAAAACAATCCTTCAGTCCAGCGATGTCGCAATATGTTCTTTTTTGTTGTATTCCAAATTTCAACGATTTTTATAAACAAATTGCGATATATATATATATATATATATATATATTTTCTTTAAAATATGAACTAGTGGAATTTGCAAGCAATGGAAGAAACTGATCTAAAATTTCTGCAAGAATACAGAATTCTGCTACAAATTTTCTGAAGGAAACAAAAAGGGAATTCCAGTTCCTTAATAGTCACTGCTGCTGAGGACTACATGAAGTTGAATCTTTATAATTCTCTGATATTTTTTTTTTTTTTTTTTTTTTTTTTTTTGAACATAAACAGATCATTGTTTAATTTGGGAGAAGAATATTAAAAAAAAAATAAAGCACAGAAAGATTTGAAGAAGAATGTAAGTGCTAAATTTTTTGGTGCATTCTGTTTTGAGGATCGTAAAAAATTGCCAAACTACTGTTAATACCAATGCTGTCAAAATAATTACGGCAACAATAACACAAGAAAGGAAGCACATTAGTAAATATTTAAGATTATTGTTTAATTTAGATGAAAAGTTAATTTCATGTAATACATTTTTTTATTATTATAATTTATACATAAAAAAACCTAAACACAGCTATAACTATAATAATAGTAAATAACTAATTCAGATTGTTTTAATTTAGATGAAAAGTTAATTTCATATCATATAATTAATTTATATGAAAAAAGACTAAACATAACTAAATGGAAGCATAATAGTAAATAACTATTTCAGATTATTATTTCAATTTAGATGAAAGGTTAATTTCATATAATACAATTTTTTATCAATTTAATTTATATAAAAAAAGGCTAAATATACCTGAAATTAAACGGGAGGCATAAAAGTCTTTATGTCTTCCAGCATAGCAGAGAAAATATTAGTTTTTTGTGCAAACGTCTGTACATAAACTCGGACAAATAAGAATTGAAATGCTGTTGAGCAGTGCCCCAATGGCCTTTATTACGCCATTTAGCTCTGCCCCATAGCTGCTCTACTGTTTGTGTGTCACACCCACTTTTGGGGTCCACAAAATTGTAATTGTCATTGACAGTAAAGTGTTCAAAACCAGCATCTTGCAGTTCATCCGACTTGTATGATTTACACCAGTCAGTATAAATAATGCCTCCTTCTGCGATATTTTCCTTTATGATGTTCAATAAGGTTTTCGCTGATCGATCTGCAACAGCGACTAAGAAACACTGATTCGATTCTCTGCATATTCTGCTGAAAACCCACTGTAGCAGAAGAACACGTCCAACGTTATTCTTTCTTTTACTGAAAAGGCTTTCATCTACTTCAATAATTTTGCCACATCCACCCATTTTCAACTTAGCCCGAGCAATTAAAGCTGCAGCACACACCTCATGCATGTAACTGTTCCAGTCTACAACTGTATTGTGGTTCATCTTCAGCTGGAGTTCATAAAATTCAATAGATGCAATTTCCTGACAACAAAAACCTAATCGCTGTAAGGAAGGGGATTTTCGATTCTCCAAACCAGTTCTTCTTAATCCTTTCTTCTCATTACAGGTTTCTTTCCTACACTGCGATTTTGCTACTGAATTATTGCTAAAGCATATTTTCATCTCGTGGTTGTTCAAACATAAGTTTCTATCATGAATGATGCCTTTTCTTTGAAAAAATTCTATTGCAGACTTTTTGTCACTGGGCAATTCCCAAATTGTTAAATCCAGTGTTATGAAAAAGAATTAAAAAATTCAACTAATATTTCAGTGGCGAGTTACAAATATAGAACTATCTAAACTTATGCAATTTGAAATCAGCGCACTTTCTAGATTTAGTGTGCTGTTAGATGGGCACATTTGCTGAATCTGGCACTTTTGTGCATACATTTTCGCTGCAGTTTTTTTTATGGTCTCCAAAACGGAATTGTACCATTTTTAATTAGTTATGTAATTTTCATTTAATATGCTGATAATGTTTGCTGACTTCCGATAAATACTGATAGTTTGGGAACCTTTGAGAAAATTGCCAACTTGCACTCAATAAGTAACTTTTAACTTTTCATCTGTAAAAAATCACCATACTGCGCCAAAGTGTTTGCATTAATATTTAAGTACCCTTTTCATTATCCATGTCTGGATTATACAAGTGTATACATTATTATCTACACATTATCCAAAACACCTGAGATAACATCCTGAAACTGATACTTAGAGGGAAGGGGGGAACTTAAAAGAATTGTAAGAAAGACCTAACTTGTGATATGATGAATGTCAATGATAAAATACAGAAGAAACTTAAAAACTGAAAGTTAATTCTAATCTAAAAAAAACTAACTCATGATGTGTAAAATAAGGGAAATATTTTGAAGTTACTGTAATAAAGAAAGTTTCTGACAATCAAAAGGTAATGAAATCAGGTCTTATTGAAACAACATCTTGATACAATAAGACAAGAAAAATGGAAGATTTTACCCAGCCAAGGTATTTTGGATTAACAGTAATAAACTGAACTACAAGAAGATTAAAATGTAGATGAAAATGAATTAGCAATGATGAGTCACAGTGCACATGGCTCACAAAAGAAGAAAAGAAATTATAAAAGAAAAACTAGAAAAATTAATTAATTATTATTTTAATTAAATCTTGCTTTGAAACAATATACAGTAAGTCAGTGTTTTAAAATCTCTGAAAATTTTTTACTTTGTTTTACACAGGACCTTCTGCAGATTCTCTATGTTTTCTGGTTATTAGCATGGGCAAATAGAAAGTCATTATAATTCATAGCAGATATGTACAATTAATTATGTCAAACGCATGGAAGACAAAGTGTAAAGGCAAAGCTGATGCACAAACTTTAATTTTCTGTGGTGTTATAATTTATACATACATGCAAAACATTACAGAAGAGTAAACAAATTTTATGCATGGCAGCTTGATATTTATTCACCTTACATTTTTAGCTCAAACGGCGTTAGCCCAGAAGAGCTATGATTTTGTTTTGGCATTTTGTGTTGATTCACTTTTCAAACTTTTGCCACCAAATATTACAGCCCTGTATTACATTTAAAGAAATTAAATAATGAAGAATCTGCATAAATGTATGTATGTTTCTCGCACTGCGATAAACAATAAACCTAGAGCCATCAAATTTTGAATAAAGTAATCCTCCACAAATTATGGGCATCTGGAAGCCCTAATTTGGAATTTATTTTATTATCTGTTTCATATTTTGTCAGAACATTACAGAATTTTTTATTAACAAACTCAGCAATTTCAAAGCGAGGAATGGCAACACTGTATGGAAAAAGAAAACATTTTTATCTCCAGCATGCGAGACTCTGTATCGGAAATTCTAAAGTTATGCTCATTTAAAAATTATTTTGCAATATTTGCTGTTGAATTGAATTTTATAGTTTAAGTGCAATGAACATGATATTTAATAAATAAAGGTAACACATAGAATGTTAAAAAACGCCCGTTTGGGCATAATGTAAAAATCTTTCAGATTTGTTTTTTGTCTACAGTGAACACCAAGATGTATATTTTTGCTTTACACTGAAATGATAATGCATCAATGGCTTTTAATTTAATTTAAATATATCATACAATTATTACAATCAAGCACTAAATAATTAATATATTCGACTGGGGTTAAGTTCCTAGGAAATCGGACTGCTGCATGAAGGTTTTTATATTTTTCCAAATGTGTTAAAGTACTACCCAGCATTCTCCTGGAGAATCTTTTATAAACATATCCTTGTGAAAATTTTTGATAATTTTATGATGTCTGATTCAACAAAGAATGTAATATCTGATTTAACTTGGTATTTTCAATTTCTGAATAAAAAGTATGTCATTTTTTTAAGCACCTTATTCGAGAAACAATGAAAGACAAATTTAACAAGAATATATTTGATTGACTTACAGTGTTTAATAATATTATTTCTCATTCTTTTATTTAGCTAGATTTTTAGCACAGGTAATTTTTATGTACATAATGAAGCTTTTAATTCAAACCCAAATAATTCTCTGGATATGAAAGGTATTTTTCCTGGTATAAATTT